GAGAGAAAGCCTTAGGTCCAGGACTGGAACCATGGTCAGCCATGTGGGAATCCAGCACCCTTAACAGTCCCACCACCTGCCAGCTCACAGAATTTTGTTAGAGGAACTTTTGCTATAGAGCACGTGTGCTTGCCAGAGAGACAGAAAGAAAGCAAGAAATCACACACACACACATACACCCGTGAGGATGGCCACACGCAATCCCTTCTCCTGCTCTCCTCTGGGGATTTTGGGTACACACACACAGGCCTGGTATGTCTTAAGCTGCAGGGTCCAGAACTAAACTCGCATCAACCAGGAGTCCAGCAGCATAACCGTTAGGCCGTCTGCTGGTCCCAGCTGACAGGGAATTAAAGCAGTATAATGTTTAGCACCCTAATTTTTGGAAAATAACTCAGAAGGTGCTCAAAGAAATGAATAACATTATAACAAAATTCTTTCCATTCCCAGCTGCTAAATTAAGAACACAGTTTTCAGTTCTATTTATAAAAATAGAGTCAGAACAGAATTAATGCTGAGGGCCAGCCCCACGGTACAGTGGTGGGACCCTGCTAAAGAGAAGCCAGGTCCTACGTGGTAACAGCAGTTCAGGTCCCCAGCTCGGTCGGCCCGAGACACACCAGGCATGCTCGGCAGCCCAGGGTCTGATCTCTCTGTGGTGGCTGGCGCTCCCCTCTCCTCCCCTCTGACTCTCACTCCTGCATGCACATGCACACACACTCTTGAATCTAAAATAAAACTCCTTTCCAAGAAATATTAATTATTCATTAATGCTCATTCAGAAAATGCAACTACAGATAAATAACTGGAAAAGAAACAGCACCATCATCTAATTAAAATACACATTTCTCCATAATGTTAACTTTTATTATCAACATTTTTATGTATTTATTCTCTTCAACATAACCACAACTGTTGATCAACTGTGTGTGAGCAACAACTGTAATAATAACTCAATCCAGAGAAAACGTCTAAAAATGTAGAGCCTAAAAGTCATTGGAGATTTACCCAGAAACTTATTTTTATGCAAGCCCACGCATGCGTGAATACATACATACACACACAGAGAAGCACAAGACGGTTATTGCTAAACTTTTGATCATAAACATATAAACTAAAAAGCAGTGGAGAAATAAAATGGAAATACAAGTTCAGATAAAAAAGAAGCATGGGGCCAGCAGAGGCGTAGTGGTTAAGGCGCTGAACTCCCACATGGCTGACCATAGTTCACCTCCCAGGTCAGGTGCATGGGCATGCATGCCTAAAATCCCAAAAGAGGAACGAAGGGAAAGGGACTGTAGTTTGGCCATCCCCCTCAGGGCTGCGTTCTCACTTTCCCGCTCAATATCTGTCGGTCTCTCTCTCCCCACCCCTCTCTCTCCAGTGAGCACATGTATCCTATGACAAAAACCTTTAAAAATAAATAAGTAAAAGTGAGGACCAGCAGTTGGCATGGTGGTAAAGGCCCTGGACACTCCCACATGGCTGACTGCGGTTCAAATACCGGACCTGGTGGCTTGCTTTCTCACTTTCCCTCTCTCTGTCTCTCTCTCTCTCTCTCTCTCATCAAATTAAAATAAAAGAATGAATAAATAAAATTAAATAAATAATTATTTAAAATAAATAAATAACATAAAATATAGGGTCAATAGATGGCACAGTGATTAGGGTTCTGAACTCCCACATGGTCAACTGTGGTTCAAGTCCTGGACCTGGTGGCTTGCTTCCTTATTTTCCCTTTCTCTCTTTCTCTGCCCCATAACAAACTTAAAATAAATAAATAAATAAAATAAATGAATTATTTTTAAAAAGAAAGTAAAGAAAAGAAAAAGGTAAATTTCTAATGAGTAGAGAATACCTCAGGGCAGCCCTGTGGTGCAATGGTTAAGTACTATGCGTGGGGAGCTGGATCAAGTTCCGAGCCCAGTAGCATGAAAAATGTTAGGGAGGGACCAGCAGTTAGCGTAATGGCTATGTCGCTGGACTCCCATATAGTCGATCGCGGTTCGTGTCCTGGACCCAGTGGCTTAAAACTCACACTGGGCGCATGTGCGTGCGTGCCCAAGATCCCGAAAGGAGAATGGAGGAGAAGGGATTGCAGCGTGGCCATCCCCCCTGGGGGGTGATTTCTCGCTTTCTATCTCTCTGTCTCTGTCTATCTGGCGAGCGCACACACCCTATAGCAAAAAAAAAAAAACTCTCAAAAAAAAAAAAAGCATTGGGGAGAGCAGCCTGTGACTTGTTAGCTGAGGGAGCCAGACACCATGTAACAGACTCGGTAACTTAAAAAACATGCCAGGTGGGACCAGCAGTTAGCATAATGGCTATGTCGCTGGACTCCCACGTAGTTGACTGTGGTTCGCATCCCGGACCCGGTGGCTTAAAACTCACGCCGGGCGCGTGTGCGTGTGTGCCCAAGATCCCGAGAGGAGAATGGAGAAGGGATTGTGGCGTGGCCATCTCCCCTGGGGAGTGATGTCTCGCTTTCTGTCTCTCTGTCTCTCTCTGTCTGGTGAGCGCACATGCCCTATAGCAAAAACCTCTCAAAAAAAAAAAAAAAACACGCCAGGCACGTGTGTGTGTACGCCCAAATCCTGACAGGAAGAAGGGGAAAAGGGACTGCAGTATGATCACACCCCCAAAGGGGATGCTCTCTCCCTTATCCTTTCTCTTTCTCTTTGGCAAGTGACTATAACCCCTGGCACTGGAAAAAACAGAACTTAAAAGGTGAAAAAAAGGTCAAATTTTATAACACGCCAAAAAATACACTCTTTGCAACTATTTATATAAGGGGTGAAAACTTTTTTTTTGTAGAGAGGTTTTTGCTATAGGGTGTATGCACTTGATAGGGAGACAAAGAGAAACAGAGAGAGAGAAAGTGAGAAATCACCCCCCCAGAGGGGTTGGTCACGCCACAATCCCTTCTCCTCCATTTTCCTCTCAGGATTTTGGGCATGCACGCACATGTGCCTGGTATGAGTTTAAAGCCGCCGGGTCCAAGACTCAAATCACGGTTGACTACATGGGCGTCCAGCAACATAACCATTAGGCCATCTGCTGGTCTCTGGGATGAAAAGTTCCAAGTGTAAACTTTTTTTCCTTTTTTGCTATAGGGGATGTGAATTTGCCAGAGAGATACAGAGACACAGAGGAGAAAGGGAAAGTGAGAAACTGCTCCTGGGGAGATGGCCACACTGCAGTCCCTTCTCCTCCATTCTTCTCTCGGGATTTGGGGTACGGAGCCACATGTGCCCACCATGATTTTCAAGCTCGGTCCAGGACTCAAACCGCAGAGTTGGCTTTATTGGATCAAGCAATCATAACTCCACGCCACCTGCTGGCCCCCAAGTGTAAGCTTTTAAGTTTCAACACAACACTGCGAAAGGACAGAGTTTTTCAAACTTCTTTTAGGGTGCACGTAAGCGAGAGTGTTTGAACACCACCCTAAGGCACGGCACAGAGGAGTCGGCATGGGGCCTAGCTCTCCAGTCTGGATGTGCCATGGTCCAGGGACTTCCCTACCTGCTCACTCTCACCTACCGCCTACCGAGCCCTCCAGACAGCAGGTCTACTCCATTGCCCTCACCTTCAACTGGACCCTCACAAACGCACAGACGCCCACGTAGAACTTGCCATTGTTGAGGTCAACAAAATCTAGGAGTGGGAAAGAGGATACCAATTGAAGAGCACATTGACCCTGACACCTCACCCACGTTCCTACTGGCAACAAACACACCTGCCTAAGAGCCTGCCCAGAAATCTGCTCACCGGAAGTGAGGCCACACCAAGCTAAGGGACAAAGCAGCCCCAGCACCAGGAGGGTACTCACCCACGTTCTGCTGCGTGATGGAGTGGGCCCAGCCATTGTAGCCAAACATCTCATTGGCCAGACTAATGACTCTGTGACCCTCAATGTAACACACCTAGGAAAGAAATGTTAAATCTTTACCACACTGGAAACTGTGAACTGAAATTTACTTCATCTATTCTTTATCTGCTGTGTTTTTTCGGCTTTATTTTTTTCTTTTTCAAAATTGCCTTAAAGAAATTCCAAGGAGGTTCTCGATGAATTTACTTCAAAGATCACCTAGAAGAAGCCAACTAGAATCAATGATCTGTCTGAAGGAGGTACTAGACTCAGAGGGAAGAGATTAGCATGCACCCAAATGTTCTCAAAATTCAGTTTCCTAAAAAGTACAAATCTTGATGGGCATAATTTTTGGAAGACCAAAAACATACACCAGCATATGATTCAAAACAATGGCAAAGGGAGTATTTTTCAAAACTGGTATGTAATGCCTCTGTATGGACTGACATGCATGGCGTTCATTCCCTTTCGAAAAAGCAATGTAATACACTGTAAAGTTATATGTAATCCAATGTAATATGAAGAAGATTATAATGATAATAAAAATAAATTAAAAAAAAAAACTGGTGTGAAACCCTGTCATGGCGTAGGAACACCCATCAAGGTGAGGCCGGGCCACTCCAGCAACAATGGACGGGACTCCTAGCTTCCCTGACGAATTAGCAAACACCCAGTAACGGCGAACTGGAGCCTTCCAGACCCATGAGGACTCCTCAAGGGAGGTGGTAAGCCAGTGAAGCAGCCGGGCCCGTGGATTCCCACTCCTACCTTCTGGCCTCCTCCCGCCATGCGGCTACTGATGTACTCCGGGCCCAGCCTCTGCCTCAGAGCGCTCTGAATGGCCTGGTACTCTTCAGCTGTGTACTGGCACTACGGTCCAAAGGAGAAGTTAAATCAGATTCCACCACTCCTTACATCCATGAATCCCCAACTTTTTGGTCTCGGGACCCCTGTACACTCTTTTTTTATTTTCCTTTGGAGAGGTTTTTTGTTATAGGGTGCGTGTGCTCACCAGAAAGACAGAGAGAGACAGAGACAGAAAGCGAGAAATCCCCCCCCCCCCCAGGGTGGATGGCCACGCCGCAATCCCTTCTCCTCCATTCTCTTGGGATCTTGGGCATGTACTCACATGCACCCAGCATGAATTTAAGCCACCAGGTCCAGGACTCGAACCATGGTCGACTACATGGGAGTCCAGCAACACAGCCATTATGCCAACTGCTGGTTCCACCCCCCCCACCTCGTACACTCTTAAAATGTATTCAGGACTCCAAGAGCTTTTGTTAATGCAGGTTATATCTATCAATAGTAGGGATTAAAACTGAGAAACTTTTTTTAAAAAGATTTATTTATTTAATTTTATTCATTCATTCATTTTAATTTGACCAGAAAGAGACAGACAGACAGAGAGAAAAAGAGAGAGAGAGAGAGAGAAATTGAGAAAGCAAGTCACCAGGTCCAGGACTCAAACTGTGGTCAGCCATGTGAGAGTGTCCAGCACCTTAACCACCACGCCACCTGCTGGTTCCCAAAGCTGAGAAACTTTTAAGGCACACATTACATTAGCCTTCAGAGCAATGAAATCATATGTTATATGATCTCTGGGAAACTCCACCATTTACTTGTGAGAAAATGAGCGTGAAAAAGGCAACTAGTGGGGCCAGCAGGTGGTGTGGTGGTTAAGGTGCTGGACTCCCACGTGGCTGACTGCGGTTTGAGTCCCAGACCGGGTGGCTTGAAAATCACACCAGGAGCATGTGTGCACATTCCCAAAATCCCAGGAAGAGAATAGAGGAGAAGGGACTGTGACAAGGCCATCCCTCCGGGGGGTGATCTCTCACTTTCCTTCTCACTGTCTCTCTCTGGCAAGTACACATGTCCCATGGCAAAAAAACGGAAAAAAGGAAAAAGCAACTAGTATTTTAGGATTATTATGAAATTGTTATTATAAAATAATAATGATACAATAACAATTTTATTATGAAAATCATTTTGCTCTTATGGACTCTTGAAAAGTTCATGTGAACCCCCAGGGTTTCCAGACCCACATTTGGAGAACCACTGCCTTGGCTGTTGCTACCATCCTTATAAAATCTTCTCAAGTTGGAATTAGCAATTACGACTTCCTTCCTCAGAGTCTGTATTGACAGACAGACACACATACATAAATATATAAATAAAACCAAGGGCGAGGGCAAGAAAAATGGGTTAGAACGCCTCGCTTCCATGCAGTTTCTCCAAAGTCTCACAACTCCTCCAGTTCAGCAACTTCCCAGCCTGCACACATAACTACGCCTCTGCAGTTGACCTGGAACAGGGGTTTGAACGGCATGGAGTTTGTTTTCAATAAATATGTTGGAGATGTTTCATGTATCTGTGAAAGCCTGAGCAAACTTCACAGTGGAAACAAACAAACGCCTAAACATCAATGTAAAGATGCAGTATAGTAACTGCGTAACACGAACCACAGCCCGCGCTACACGTACGCACCCGGCTCCTGCGCCGCTGGGGTGCACGCAGGGCTGCAGACAGCCTAGTAAACAGCAGGCGTGGGCAGTTCCTCTCTCCAGGAAACCAACGACGTGTTAGTTTCCCTACTGCTTTATAACTCTGCTTTCAAATACATTACCATACGTATCTCTCTAACTGGAAAGCGGCACATAAGCCTCCCATCACAGGTACATGGTTTTCGTTCGTTTGTTCTGTGTTTCAATATGCTTTCAGGTACGTGTGCTCGCTGGAGAGAGAGAGAAAGTGAAAGCGGGAAAGCACCCTGGGTGTGTGGGAGGGGGCTGGCCATGCCACAATCCCTCCTCCTCCATTCTCCTCGGGATTTGGAGCACACATGCACATGTCCCTGGCATGTTTCTCAGGCCACTGGGTCTAGGACTTGATCCATGCAGTTGGCCATGTGGGATCCAAACACCTTAACCACGATACCACCAGCGGATACCAATGAGTATGTTAAAAAAAGAAAAAGGCAGCAACGTTTTCAATACTGCCCTAAGAGTATGAGTACAACCCCGAGCGCCTCACTGCTGTACAGGACAGGCTCCCACACAGCAACCACACTGCTGTCTCGTCATAGTCAGTGCACGAAGCACCACGTGTAACTGGACGCGAACTTCTCTTCCCATGTCTTTCCGTCTTTGCTGTCTGGTGTTACAACGTGCCCAACATCTACAGCCTTCGGAATCATACAAGACGATACTGACGTAGGCGCTGGCGGGTGACGTGTGTCATAACCACACGACGTAACCTATGACCTCTGTAATGTATTCGGTGGCCCGCAGAGTCGTGACGCGTTGCCTGTGCAGAAATGTCACGACTTCCCACGACCCAGCAGCACAGCACTGCAGATTGCGTTCTTTCTCAGGGCGTCCTTAGTAATGCTGTCCTTCCTCTCGATCACTTCATTCCAGTACAGCGTACGAAATATGTGTTCACGGGCTATGATATCAGCAACCTTCTGGTCAACAGTAGGCAATCGGTAGTTACACTCTGGGGGAGCTAAATGTCCTACACGTATTGCTGGCGGGGGGAGGGCAGCACACCTGACCCTCTGTTGTTCGAAGGTCAACTGCTCTTGCTGTTTCCTGGTTTGTCCCCTCGCCCTATTAAATGAGATGAGTGCTAACAGGCAAGTCTGGTGAAGACAAAGTTCAGGGGGACAAGCGAGAATTCCTTTTCTAGGCAGAGAATGTCTTTACCAAGAAGATGAGCCCAGAAACTGGATCCCTCCAAGAGAATGGGGTGACGTGTGGACAGGCTCGTGGGGAAGCAGGAAGACTTTCCACAGGCAGCTTTTGTTCTGTGTCGAGTCTCCCTCACATGACTACGCTATCTATCCAAAAGAGAGGTAAATGCAAATCTAAATGATGCGAAAGCTCCAAATGCTCTCAACGTTAATTGAAGACTCCCCGAATAAAACATCGAGAGAAAGAACTAGGGTCTGGCAGGTGGCGTAGGGGCTGAGACACGGGACCCCACATGGCAAATCACGGTCGAGTCCCAGGCCTGGGGGCGTTCTTGCTCTCTCTCTCTCGTCAAATTAAAAAATAATAACTAAAATTAAACAATTCTTTAAAAAAGGAGAGGACCAGCAGATGGCATAATGGTTATGTTGTTGGACTCCCACATAGTTGACTGCAGTTCAAGTCCTGGACCTGGCAGCTTAAAACTCATGCCGGGGGGTGTGAGCGTGCATGACCAAAATCCTGAGAGGAGAATAGAAAAGGGACGACTGTGGTGTAGCCATCTCCCCTCCAGTGCTGATTTCTCACTTTCTGTCTGTCTCTGTCTCACCAGCGAGCATATGTGCCCTATAGCAAAAATCTCTCTTAAAAAAATAAAAAGGATGAACAAAACAATGACAATAAATGACTGACACACACATGGTGCTCTACAAACTGTCTCGTCCTAACCCATCTCACTCAACCTTCCAGGTATGAAGAAACCCGTTACCTGTCCGAAGCATAACACTGAGCTGCCACCAGAGCGGCTGTCGCGCCCTCCTGGAATGGCCTCTTCTGTCCCAGACATGTTGATTCTGGTTCACCCGTCTGCAAATAAAAGAAAAAAATAAACACACACACACACACCAAAAAATACTAACAATAAAGAATGCCTACTAAAATCAGATAAGCAATATCCCTCAAGCTACTCACTTCTACACTGCTTGAATGAAGGAGCAACAGGGCTGGCCTCATAGCCTAGTTGTTAGGGGAGCTAGGCCTAAATGGCCAACCAAGGGTCAAATCCCAGTCCCAGTGGCTTGAAAAACACTCCAGGCATGTGCACACCCAAAAATCTCAACAAGGTGGAGAAGGCACTATAGTGTAATTGTGTCTGACTGGGAGGATGTTTCCCTGTCTCTCTCTAGTGAGTGCACACTTCCTCTGATAATTCAAGAAAATGGGGGGGGTGGGGTGGGGAGAGCTCAAGTTCTAAACGTCAACTGGAGGCACCTGACCACTGGAAACTCACATAATCTTTCTTTTTTAAAATTATTTTTATTATTATTTCAATTTCTTTTATATACTCAATCATGTTACTTATCTTGCAAAGTGAAGATTCCAACATGTGTACTTTTTGTACAGGTCCAGATGACAATACTATAAGGTTATCCCTCAACAGATACTAACCCATTTCTTTATCCCATAAATGCCTTGCCTATTTTTCTCTTTAATGTCCTTCCTCAGACTCTATTCCTTCACCCTTCCTCTTCCCACACTGTGTCTGGTATTCACAACCACTTACTATATTTCTATATCCTTTAGTCATTCAGTTTGGGCCATAGAGTGCGGACAATTGGTATATATTAAGTGGAGTCATACAATGTCTCTTTCATAGCCTGGCTTGCTTCACTCAGCAGTCAATCTTCCATATTCCTCAACTTTCTGTCAAAGGCCAGGGGCTTGTTTTTTACGGCTAAGTAGTATTGCATAGAGTATATGTGTCACACTTTTTCAATCCATTCATCTGTTCGTGGGCATTTGGGTTGGCTCCATGTCTTAGCGATTGTGAATAATGCCGCAATCAACATCAATGTGCAAGCACTTTTCCGACTAAGGATTCTTCTGTCCTTTGGGTAGATACCAAGGAGTGGGATTGCTGGATCATATGGTAGTTCTATTTGTAGATCTTTGAGGAATCTCCAAATTGTTCTCCACAGTGGTTGGACCA